ATATGTTTGCATGTATATCAATATTAATATCAGATCTAATATAATTTTATAAATAATCAAAATAATAATTATTTTATTTGATTTTATTTATAAATATAATTAACATGCATATATTATATTTAAAATATAGATGTATCATTTGTTAAGATATGCATAATATTTATTTTTGCCATATTATATATGCAGAATATTATATTATTCATACTCGTATTAGCCTGACTCGTTACGTACGAAGGGTTTTAGATCTAGCCGCATCGTGGAGCGCACATCGCTTTGTGTTTACTGATATACCTTCAATTAACTTGCTTGCATATTGATTATATGTTTAAATGCTTTGCTAAAATGTTTCTTGTGTGCCTTCTATCTCATTACCTATTGTTTTGTGTCGTGTGTGATTAACAAATGTATAAATTATGAAGAAGTCCGTTTTTTTTTCAATAATCTAATAATATGGTTATCCTTCAAACACACAATTTCAATAATTTTATTAAAAGTGAGGTAAGTGAGTGAGTAACCTTCATATTAGTTTCTAGGCGGTAGAGCCTAACTATTGTAAATTACTGCAGGTCGAACATAGGCTGACTTAACCTGCGAAGTACCACCCTCGAGCAGAAGATCGGATTGACGTTGTTTTCAATGGCTGCGTTTCGTCCCTTAAGTGAGAAAACTGGATGCTCTTTTCCCATTCTTTTCCTTTCCCTTTTTCTCTTCCCCAATCAACGGTAGTAACGCTTTCTCAAAATTTTATTGAGAATTTCCATGCGCGACGAGTTTACCTCCGTGAGATACACCGTCTGCTCGTTTGCCCTCTTGTTATAACAAAATATATATTAATGGTTGGATGTAGAAACTAAATTAAATGTATTTTTAAAAATTGCTACTTTAAGTAAGTAATTGTACTAGGTAAGTAATTGTACAAAATTTATTGAACTACACATGTACTTTCTTAAAGTAGAACGATATTGTATTTTTATATCATATTAATTTAATTCCTAGAAAAACGTGATAAGTTTGAAATTTTCCTACTAATGCGCAGTTGCAATTTTGCGTAGCAAGTTGTTGTGAATTTGCAACTGATAGCGTAGACAACCTTAAAAACAAAATTCTTAGTAGACTAAATCAGTACTTTACGTTTTAAATATGTTCGTCAAACGGAATATTTTCTCACCTATGTTGTTTATAATATAACATCGACATTTATTTCTGTTTGTTTATAGAGATTTTTATCACCATTTAGTACATACGTTTTGTTTATTCTTTCACGTTATATGTAAATAATTTTACTTCTTTTAAGATTTATCCACAAAACGACGACATGAAAACTTTTAACAGCATTCTAATTAAGCACTCCTGAATTTGCAAATGTTTTTATTGTCAACTTTGATATCAAAACATCGATTCTTTCCTCTCTAGACATAAAAAAAACGATAAATACAAATTAACACGTTTCCGTAAACATGTGAAAAATATGTTCTATTTGCTAGATAATTGGATAGCTAGCGACGTTATTGTGAAGCTAACTTAGTATTTGAAAATGCATTTATAATGTTTCTTATAAGGAAATTATACAGTAATAAATTGTGTAATAAATACACAAACTTTTTTTTATTTAACAGAATACAGACCAGTAGCCTCATAATTCTAAACATTTCATTAAGTATAAGAAATTCCATTTTTTTTTAAAGAATTATATGTTTCTTTAATAGTAATAATAAAACATTATAAGTTTTAAATATGCGCTCTGATTTTATTAATAATAAAACGAGACATTGTTAGTAGTTTATAAAATTACTTTCTTAATCCACATTCACAATAACCTTAATGTATCCTGTCTCAGAATAATGTTTTTCTGATTCAATCTTTACGTTTATCCGACATGTTAATCTGAGGTCAAAGCTTTGTATCCTTTAAGTGAATTAGAATTATACCCTTCTTAGACGAATTTAAATAAAATGTACATATAAAGGATATTGTATTAGTCTTCATGGTTGTATCTAAAGTGATTATATTTAGGAAATACAATTTATAAAATTGTATTTTATGGTTTCATTACATTGATTTATTTATTAACTGCAATAAGTTATTATTTATCATGAAAATACTTTATTTTTAAGATTACAACATATATTTTATACCTTTTCATAATAAAACCACGTATGTATACGATTATATCGTATATAATAAAAACATAAAAAATCAGTTATAAACAGGCTGCTTCCAATCTTTAATATGACATCCGGTCTGCACTTTCTGAATCTATGAAGAAATCGAGCAAATGGCTAGTCAGATTTTGTAAAGATTGTATTTTTAGACACATAAACACAAACAATTTTTTATTTTTAGAGTTAAATAGAGATATTGTAACTATTTCAGTTGCATTTATCCATATGTGCACTATTTGTATATATTTTAAATTTCTTTTCATTGTATCATTTTATATTTATAATTGAAATTATAATTCAAGTATCAGCTCAACATTCATCTTACATTAAGAATATATTTTATATAAATTTTATATCAGTGGTAGCATCTTTCCAGTGTTTCTTCTAAATTCTGAAGTTATCCCTCCCTCTTTATATGATAGATAAATAATATTAGATAAACCGGCCCGAGTTTCGACACGATTATTTGATTAGTCAATAAGTGGCCCGCAATATTCCGAAGATTTCAGGTTAGAGTGCCGAGGACTTTTTTGTTCTATAATTTCCATTTTGAATTTTAGTACACTTCTAAGTTTCATATTTGTTGATGGTCATTTTATAGTCAATTCAAAATTTATTGTTTGAAATAATGATATTAAAAAAGTTGCCAGAACTTGATACTACTGTGATACAGTATCATTTATAGTTACTTTTAAAACTAAAAGTCACTTTAGGGCCCTAAAAAGTGTACTCTATATAATTTATCTTAAATTCATGAAAAGTATATAAAAACTTTTCGTACTTTAGTTTCACAACCTTAATTTCACGATCCTAAACTTTTACACTTCAAATTAAAGTCAATAAAGTAGTAGCTCATCTGATAGACGTCCTTTGCGAAAAATAGGAATATTATGTAAAAGACTCAGTGGAATCGGTTAACTGACTACTTATCTTGAGTGTAGATTGATTACGATCTAGATCCATACTGGGAATTTAAACGGTTCAAGAAAGAACTTCTAGCTTTAAAACTTTAGAGATTCGCCTCCTTTTTAACGACGAGATAGACTGTTAAGTTGATTTATGTGTGAGAGATACTGGGAATAGCGAAGTGGTTTTTGCTTTACTCAAATAAATTCATTTCCAGGAATAAAAGAATTCCATTATTACACCTAAGTTTATTATGTCTTTAAAGTGCCGAAACATTTAAAGTTTACTTTATATTCGATGAAACCAATAACTAAATAAGTTATTGTGTCTTTTTTCATTTCAAATGCACGTAAAAATTATGTAAAAGATATTAAAATATTGTTTGAGATATCAACAGCAACAATATTGATATGGAACCTATGTTTGTTTATGAAACCTTAACCAATTAGATCGATACGTTGTAATACCGCCAATCATCTACTCGAGTTGAATTTACACATCACCTTAATTTACACAATGGTCAAGCAACGAACCTTTACATAGTTATTTAGGTATGACAGTATACGTATCGTAAGTAAATCACAATAACCTTATCCATATTATTTCTATATGCAATAAGATGTTACTTGTTCTGAGACATTTGTTTTAATTCCTAAAGTGTATGGAAAAAATCTCAATAATCTTGACAGATGAACTTTTGGCAAAACAAATTGTTACTTAAATTTAAATATTCATGAACCATAAAACATCAATTTTCTTTATGCTCACCATAAAACTATTAATAATAACTATTAGACTGCACATAACTGACAGCAAAATTATTTCACTGTAACAATGCTTTAGTACCCTATAATTTTATATTTTGAAGTAATAAATTTTGTGGGAGACAGATATATTTAAATAACTAAAATATGGTAAGCATCCATAAACCTGATTCGCAGGGCATAGGAGGGTGGTTTCAATAAAATTATTCTTAATTATAAGTATCACTGAGAATATTTTTTGTAGTAAAAATGACATATTCACGTAATCATTATTTTTAGCTTTTTATTTGCTGGGTGCTATAAACTGTATTGCTAAATAAATTATAAATAAATTAATATCCGAACTTACAATTATTTCATTATTTATTAACTTATTCTCAAATTCAGCTGGATTTTTTTTATTTTCTTACTGTATAAACATATATGTATACATACGTATATAAATAAGGACTAAAAATATTCATTTTAAGAAAGAAAGAAAGGATATTGTTTAACATTCCCCAAGGTTTTAGAAAAAATGTAATACATAAACAGAATAACACTTTATTGTCCAGTGGTTTTCTTGCCGCCGGGATGCAAATACTGCTTAGCAATTAAATAGAAGTTTTAAAAGCGTTATTGCGACAGGCGTGGGCAGATTATAAAAGTTTGTGTCCCCTGACAGCTGCTATAAAATGTTTGTGGAAAAGCAGAAACGTAGAGTTTTATGGACGCTTACGTTAAACTTGTCTTTCACCCATACGATGAATAATCAAGTTTATCAATTATTTACCAAAAACAAAATATTTTTATATGTTGTTTTTGAGTGGAAAATAATTCAAATAGTGTTTATACGGAGAGTTGGTGTTAACTGATGAAAACTCATTTATTACAATTTATTAATAAGTACTTCTAATAAAGAGACATATTCTCTTAATATATGTTCATTATAATAATTAATTATCATTGGGTCAAAAAATATATATAAATGCAGATTTCATTAAATTATTTTTTTACTTGTGATAGTTTTATTTAAAATACATTATCGATGCATTATGATACAATAGGCCATTCTTGTATTTTGTGAAATCATAAGCTACTTACTATTCAATAAAAATCTATTAATACCACAAAGACTTTTATTTATGAAATATAAAGCACAATTTTACTTAAAAAAGGTTGTATAAACTCAATTGTAACATTTAGAAAATTCTTGAATTTCAGAGTAATGCGATGGATCGGGGTGTGGCCCAGAGCGACACTTTAAATCTTTTGAAAACAAATCTTTCCTCTTATGATCAGACGCTGAAAAGCCGATTTCACTTTCCTTTAAACGCCAACCAAAAATATTATTACTTGTTTCACTAAAGTAATACTTTTCTTCAGGGATAATCTCATATCTCTTACCAAGATACTTTAGACGACCTCCGTAAGGAGGCTCAATCCTTAAAATATTTGATAGACTTGGATCTACCGGCTTCATATTCGAGGTTAAAAATGTTTTTTGTGTTTCGTTGTTACTCAAAGTTATCATATCTCGTCTTCTCGAATCTAGTATTACAGGATTGTCATGCGGTAACTTCCGCCGACGATTTTTAAAGCTTACCTTATGATGAACTGCTAAATTTTGCATCAATGGCTCAATCAAAGCTCTGGCAATATCTTCTGTCCTATAATCTTTGCTGGTGTTACTTAATGTTGTACTAGAAATAATTTTTTCTTTGTTTTTCATAAACCATAGAATTCTATCTTCGTTTTCTCTTTCATAATTTTCTTTTAAAAACGTTATAACAGCTGGATTACTATAGTCAAGTGGCATTTTTAAGAATATTTAGTTGTAAAATCTATATATATGTTAAAAACTAAATCTGCTATAAAAAGAAGCAGACCTATAAAACAAATATGTAAAATGTATACAAAAATATGTAAATGTCATAAAAAAATATAGAAGGTCAAATTATTTCAACATAATAAGAACTAATAAGTTTACATATCTTTATCATAATGAAACTGTTTAATCATATACATGAATTAAAATTAAACAAATGATAATCTTACTACTATTGCACACATTATACATCATTTTTTCAAATTCGTATTACATTCATATTATTTTTATCACATTTTGTTCTTTCAATCATGGTCACTGTGCACTTTCACCTAATCTATTAGAAAGGTTACTAATCATTTCTGGTGTTGCCATACGTAAACCGTAAGCCAACCCTAATTTTTCAAAGGCCTGAATGAATAATGTGCCCCAATTAAAGAGATCAAAATGCTCAGCCGCCTTATAGTCGAAGGGAAAAGCGTGATGATAATTGTGCCAACCTTCTCCAAGAGTACACGTTGCAACAAATCGATTTTCACGAGGCACAATATTCCTGTGGACATAAAATATTATCTAATAAATAAGAGGTTACCCAAATATATTACAAAAAAACTACCATAAAATCAATTGAAATGTTTTATATTAACATATAATTATTATAAACATAAGGTAATATACAACAATAAGAGTTTAATAATTTGAATTAATAGTTTACTATAAGATGAAATAGGCTTCTACTAGCGAAAGCTATATATATAAAAATCTTACTTGTTATAGGGCCTATATCCATAGGCGTGTGCAAGAGAATTGACGGTCAATTCAGAGTGAAACATACTCAGGAAACGAATAAACCACTGCCACGCGATAGTACATTGCCACGATTCTTTTAAAATGTAAACGTTGACCATGAAAGGTAGAACAAAGCAAAACAGCAATCTGAAGTATGCAAAATGTCTGAAATAGAAAAATACAAACTATATATACGTATGTAAACAAAAAATTTATTAAAATAATCTGAGGCTTATCTGGGACGAAACCTAGGCTCTGTTTATTAAGCATCTTATCTGCGCATATATGAAGATTTTATCTACACTATTTATTAAACTTTCGCACTCCTGATTTCTAAGATTTTCATAAAATTATACGAATATAAGATTAATATAAAGGTAAAAGATAGCTGGTTAATACCTCTGTATTAGTTCCTATTCTAAATCATTTTCCAAATAAAGATTATGTCCAGCATTCACTTTTACAACGAAAAGATTCAAAGGATAATTTCAATTCGTTATGCCATTTTAATTCTATCAAAATCATTGAACACCAATTGAATTCGTACACATAAAAATATACTCTGTTTTCCTTAATTAAGTTATAATTATTAATCAAGTTTAATAAATAAAAAGATTTAATGCTATGTATATATTGTGTATTTTTAATAATCATAAATAACTTACTTGTTATAAAATCTGAGTATTGGATCTTCATGAATATCAGTCATATCCATTTGTTTTCCTCTTATGATAACCTCTTTATTTTTCTTCATCATTAACCAGCCGATATGTGAAAAGAAAAGTCCTCGATTCGCGTTATGGGGGTCGGCGTTAGTATCACTATGCTTATGATGAAGGCGGTGATCACGTACCCATTGTTCTAACGAATTCTGTGCACACAATTTATTTTTATTTTATATTTAATAAGTTATTTCAATAAAACAAACAATAACAATACTTAAACAAAATACACAATTCTTTACTAAAGATTTACATTATTTATTTATTAAGTGAAATCATAAAAACAATGCGTGTCAAATTGTATTTCAGATTAATTAAAACTTTGAATACAGCTGTTGCCCCCAAAAGGCACCAATTTCATTACCTTACAAATATTATTCATCAGCTGGAATACAATATACCATTACGGTTATTAAAATTATATTAAATAAGGCTTTTTGGTTTTCGTAATTAAATTAATACTGTAAAGATAAAAATGCATATTTCTGTAACACTTGTGTTTTTTGGATTGGCTCAATTAAGTATGAAATTTCAACTGCTTTAAATAACCAATACTTTCAATACTACATGACCTATCAAACTAATACAAATAAAGATCATAAATCACCAAATCAATTTACCTGTCCAGCGCTAGCGAAACACATTAAGAGAAATAGTTTCAGAGGTAAAGTTGCTTTATACGATTTGTGCGTCCACAACCTATGAGCTCCTCCTGTTATACCAAAACCCGTTGCTACGTACATTATTGCAGCTGAAATATATTTCATATCACTCTTTACACATTTCATAAAATGATGGTTATTCAAAAATAACATATATATTAAAAATCAAACTGTTATCTAGAAATTTTAAAGAAAAATTACATTGTGTTTACCGAATATAACTGTTTGCATTTTGACTGGCAAAGCGTAATGGTAGCACCAGTATACAGCAGCAATATGGTAAAGTGTCAGCAGAATCGCACTCGTCCATTTTATGTCATTTTTAAAACCGAGACTTTTTTCAAACGCCCGAAACGTTTCACTTATGGGCGGCAAATGTTTGAGATTAATGTTTTCCATGACCAAACTAACAATTACTAATGAAACGATGGATTCATCGCCCTTTAAATAATCTTAATCTTTCGTAATACATAACACTCGATGATACTAGCCTTGATACATATCTGAATTAGAATTCCGCAGTCATAAAACATTTGGATTTTATAAACACATTTCTATGACATTAAGTAAGCATATGTTTAAATAAATCTAAAGATATTAATAATATATGCCTGTCACAAACGGCATTTTAATATTTATGTATTTATTATTCCATAATATTTTGTGTAATTCATATATTTCATTATAATAAATTATATCTAGTCGTACTGGATGAATGAAATGCCGTACGTGACATGAAAACTCAGGACTGCTTCAAGAGAGGTATTCAGTATGTACTCCTATGTCTATGTTTTGAAAAAACTGTACTTAACCGCTGGAATATTGTCTTGTTGCATGAATATTTTCCTAATATCATCTAACATTTAATGAGTCTATAAAATATTTAAACAATTGTATAAAACATAAGACATTAATAGTTTAGAATTGTTATTGCTATTGTCATAGATGAATTTGTTTTCGATAGTTTTTACAAAGCTGAGTATTTTTTTTTCGATAATTATTTCATCAACAGAATATTTATTTTCTACTCTTAATTAAACTTTAATATTAAATCCTTTTAACATTTTTATAAAAAAAATAATGTTTTTATTGGATATTATTTTTATGATAGTACATGTATATAAAAATGTTATTAATATTCTTACAGAACCAGTCATTATAATACATTGACACCTTGTATTTCAATATTTAGATTACAAGATCATTTGCATTTTAGCTTTGTGTACAATTGTTCCAATTTCTCAATGAATTGATTAAACAGTCGTTGAAATTAACAAGTCAAATGTTGCAATATACGAAACTAATTCATTACATAGTTCATTACCACAATTGGGATTTGTAGCAAAATTTATTGTTTACTAAATATAAATACCATTATGTTGTTTATAAAAAAATGCTAATTTAATATTTATGGGGAAATAGTAAAACGGAGGGATATTAGTAATATTAAACATTCTATTTAGCTTAAAGGTAAAAGGTAGTCTGAAGGTTTTTATATTCTATCGTAAAACGCACGTGACACACTCCCTTGTTCGCTATTAGTCTGCTAAGGTTCCGTACGCAAGTAATAACCGCCGCAATACAATATTACAAATATACACTAGGCGTGCACATGTTATGGAATCCTTTGGACGTGTTACAAGTTTCATAGAAGCCATTTCACATTTTCGTGTACAAAAGTTGTTCCATAACTTTAATTGTTTTATATTACATTAAAAGTTATTATAGATAACTTCTCAGAAAGTCCGGAATAGATAGGAAAAATTTCAAAACTTTCGTTCGCCAAAAGATTACACACCTTTTTATATTCAAAGTTCCTCACATCAGTTATTCATACGGCACAGTAAAACAGGCTTCATAGAAATATTTATACGGGTAAAATTTTTGAAGTTTTGTTGAAATATTAATTTCTTTGTGAAGACTGATTTTATAAATAAAATATAACAACATTAAATAGTGTACGAAATGGTTAATTCAAAATATTAACCTTTAATTTCATTTATATCAGAAGTTATAGAAATGTAGATTTTTTTTCATCCATACAAAGGATCCTCGGAATTAATAATAATATAAAGCATTGGTTTCAATTAATATTCAGCAGTAGTATAATAAATTCTTCAGTGTAAAAACCACAATAATGAAAGAAGCTCGAGACGTAGTAATACTCTCTACAAAAATATTTTAATGTCCATCGCAAGTTAAAATAAAATTGCTACGTTTTTATATGAATAAAGAAAATATTAAAATATGTCAATTTCAATGTTTATTTTTGGATTTTATTTGTGGAATACATTTAAATTAAAAGTCAATCAAATTTAATGATTAACGTCACAAACAAATTTTGTAATTAAAATTTTAGTCTTGTAAAGTCTTATTCTATTTATAACATCGAACAATATTAGTTTTCATAAATATTCATATATATTATAATAACAAACTTTTGTCAATATAATTAAGTAACTTGTATAATAACAAGTAAAAGATAGACTCGTTTGAGTTTTGTAACTCCATTTCTGATTTAAATTGTTCATCTGCAAAGAAATTGATTAAAGAGAAGTTTTAATTCAAAGGAAATTATTATTTTTTTCTTTAAACATAGATATATATTAATTTAGACCCGAAATTTAAAATTAACGAGAAAGTTTGTTTTTTATCAGTTATTATTAAAGTTTTTCAAGACTTAGAAAACTAGGCATCTTATTAAAATATTCAGCAGTACCCCTGAAATTGAGAAAATGATTTTCGGGAAGAAGTTTTAATTAATTATATTTTAATTGTATATACATATTACATACATATAACAATAAATTGTAAAAGATCTTTTCATATCCCTGCTTTTACATTTCTGTTTAATCCGTCAACCCTTTAACCAAAAAGCAATTATTTTTCAAGGACAGTTGTAAACGGAAAACCATAAAGAGCATTTGTTTAGCTCCGGTTAATCCGGATAATGGATAAGCGGAAAATTTTGTCACTTATCCGGTCGAGGGCAATCTCGTTTGGCTATAAAAGGCAAATGAAAACATTCGGAGTTAACAAATAATAATTGAAAACATTCATAACACTTTCTATCGCGTTATGTGGTTTAAATATATATTGTTAACTCAAAAATATAAATTATTGATTTATAAATTACTGAAATATTAAATGCAGATGAAAAGCATACTTCATACCAATAGAAGTATCTGTACCTATTATATCACATTTCCAGGTATTGTTTTATTTCTCTGATTATTCTCTTTAATTTACTGCGTTATGAGTTAGTGACATTTTATTTTTAGACCAATGCAAAAACCTTTCCATTTATTTATTAATTATGTATTTGGACTTATTTAAAACTAGACTCACTACTGTGGCCTAAATCTTAGTTTCTAGTCATAAACCTCATCTCAATCTTTCAATTAATAAAATGTTTGCGTTTATATTTAGAGTGTTTATATAGTAAACTGTTTAATTATTTATCGTTGTATGTAGTGATTTTAATCAGGTAACGTTACGGTAAAATGTCTTAATTGGAACTTGGAATACAAAATGTATTCGGTTTGAATGCAAATGTATTCGATTGCTTAAGCAATCTTAGTTAAACTATTTAATAAAATTATGTTTTCATAATATGCAGAGTGGAATCTTATATTTATAACCTATAATTCTTATAAGTATATTTGATATTTCTTATTAAATACTAATATATAGACTTTCTCAGTGAACGTACAAAGAGTAAAACATAAATCCATTTCACTTCCAAAAAAGGCTCAGCTGGGACTTCACGAGACTGATTGACATAAAGGCAGTATAGACTTCTATCTTTTTCAAAGGCCTTTTGAAAAATATTATCCCATAGATATATTTAAACAAGTTCTTTTTTTAAAGCGTTATTTTAAGGACAAAATCAATTAATATTACACGAATCGGTTTTCGTATTGTACATAGCTCTAATATTGAAGCAGATTTTCAGTACCCTATAATAAAGATACCGCTAATATATACTTTTAATATTCATGCCTTTAACTTAAGCCGATAACGTGTGAATTGCTACTTATAAAAGTTTTGCAATTTTCCTAAACGGCGAACAGACGACGAACGAGCGTACACTAAGATCTTCACTGTAAACTTGTGTGATAATATATAATGTTTAGAAAACTTTTAGTGCTACGAACAAAAGCCATTATTGTTTTCAAAAATATACTCTAAAAACAAAAAGAAAACAAGAGGCTTTTACCAGAGATGTCCAAAATAAATTGGCCTTTAAATATATACTGTTTTATGTATCAATCCAAATTCAAACAAGTAATAGGATTAATTTGTTTTTCATTTTATATAGAACCACAGTCTAACATCAATAATAGAAGATGCGTTATATTGAGAAAAAGGTTATTATTTATACCTGAAAATAAATATGTCTTTATTAAAATACTTTAAAAATTCCTTATCACGGAATTTTACCATTTCCTAGTATGACTTACTAAATCATTTATAATTATATTTATATAGCAAACCGTTTGGGGCAATAGAAAAGACTTAAAAAACATCAGAAACATGACAAAACTAACTGTATTTCTTTACACCATACGCTTTTATTTGTAAAGGTTTATTACGTGTGATATGTTACGAGTAAACATACTTGACAATGTTAAACAATAATAAAACAGTACAGTTATTAAATCCGACATCTTGATACTAAATCACTTTCAGCTGGCTTTGTATTTGACTACGAATAAAAAGAAAATAGTACATCACATAAATATTTGACATCTTTCTCTCATGTATATTAGTATAGATAAATCTTACATAACTTAAAAAGACGTATACATTGTAGATACACAAATGTGCTAGTATTATGATACTTGTAATTTCAAATTTTGTTATTTTCTTGTAAATAAACATTTATAACAGATGTTATTCGAATAAAACAATATTACAACGCTACAATATGAGGCGATTTGAATTTAGGCCGCGGACTTACCCAGCTTCAATTTATTTTCAAATAAAATTCCCGTTTGCAATCTCCAGCTATCTTGCAACTAAATTGGAGCTTTTCTGAAAACGACTATTAAAGGCTTTAATATTATTCACTTTATTTAGTTGCTGCAGTAAATATTTATTTGTTAAGCTATTCAAAACAGAAAATTGTGAAATAAGGAAATTTTAATATATATAAATTTTCAATTGTAAATTAAATTTTAATTAAGAAGTACTTTGTGAAGGATTAAACAAAGGTAAAGATTCTAATAGACACTTCATTTGTTTATAACGATCATTAATGTTTTTTTATATGAATACATTATTTATATTATAATTGTAAAGAACCATATAATGAGACAAGTTCTAGTACAATTTTTAATAATTTTATATACATACATGTATGTTCTCAACAATAAAAAAAACGGGAACCTGATATT